CCAATTTCCAATTACCATTTTATCTCTTCCCCACACTCCCTTTATGTCTCGTCTATACTTATCCATCATAAAACACCTTATGTCATACCTCCCATTCAAACTTCTGTCCCGTGCACAGCTATTCGCATCTTTCTTCGCCGCTGGATCACAGTGATTTCAGTCTACTTCTCCCCATCCCATCCTATTGACTTTACTCCCTTTGAGACTCTAATTTCCAAACTCCAACCACCTTTCCTCGTAGTTGGTGATTTCAACTGCCGCCACACTCTGTGGGGTGACTCTACCACCAACTCCCGAGGCCGATCTCTAGATCGCTTCTTCTTCACAAATAACCTAATTATTCTTAATTCAGATCGCCCCACACACTTTGACATGCGCACACAATCCTTTTCATGCCTTGACCTCTCTCTATGCTCTCCTATTTTACATCTAGATTTCCATTGGTCACTTCTAGACCACTTCCCAATACTCCTTTCTCCTACTTCTTATGTACCACTTCCTAATCCTCCACACTGGTGCTTTGATAGAGCTGACTGGCATACTTTCACTTCACTCTCTACTATAGCTATCCCTCCACCCCCCTTACCGTCCATTTCAGATATGCTACATTGTTTTACAACCACGATCCTAAGAGCTGCCTATACAGCCATTCCTCGAACTTCAAAACCCTATACCTCTAAATGTGTTCCATGGTGGAATTTTGATTGCACTAAAGCGCTTCGCTTAAAACGAGCAGCCTGGAACAGCTATCGCTACAAACAAGGCACCCCTCACCAGCTATCAGCCCTTATTTCCTTTAAAAGAGCATCTGCCCATCTTCGCCGTACAATTAAAAACAGCAAAACAAATAGCTGGCAAAATTATGTTTCCTCAATTACATCTTCTACATCTATTTCAGCTGTTTGGCGACGGATCCATAAATTATCAGGCAAACATCCCCCCCCATCCTGCATCCTCCCATATTCAAGATATTCTCTTCTCTGAGCCTGTCAAAGTAGCTAATGAACTGGGCAACTATTTCAGCCAGGTCAGTAGTGGCTCTCACCTTTCCCCACACTTTTCTCCCATTAAAGCCATCAAGGAACACACCCCTATTACCTTCACCCTATCCTCTGATGAGTCCTATAATGCTTCTTTTTCTTCTTCTGAACTCAACGCTGCATTACAGTTATGCCGCAATACTCATGAAGGCCCTGATGATATTCACTATCGTATGCTCCAACACCTCCCATCTTCCTTTCTATCGTTCCTTTTAACTATTTTCAACCATATATGGACGTCAGAAAATTTTCCTTCTCATTGGCGAGATGCTCTTATCCTACCTTTCTTAAAACCCAATAAATCAGGTACCCTACCCCAAGATTACCGCCCCATAGCTCTAACTAGCTGCTTGTGCAAACTACTAGAACGAATGGTTAACTTCCGTTTAATGTGGTACCTTGAATCACATAATCTTCTTTCCCCTTCCCAGTTTGGTTTCCGACGTGCCCAAAGTACAGCAGACCCACTTGCCCATTTCGAGACAAACATTACATCGGCATTTGCACACCATGAATCCGTATTAGCCATATTCTTTGATCTAGAAAAAGCATATGACACCACATGGCGATACCATATCCTCCAACAATTGTCCTCCCTAGGTTTACGTGGAAACATGGGCGTTTTCATTAAATCCTTCCTTTCTAAACGTACTTTCCAAGTCAAGATTGCCTCTTCCACATCATCATCCTTTCCTCAATTCGAAGGCGTCCCACAAGGAAGTGTGCTTAGTACCACTTTATTCCTTCTTGCTGTAAATGACATAGTCTCAGTCCTACCATCAGGAGCCCGAGCATCACTATATGTTGATGACTTAACCATTTATGCATCTGGCACATCCATACCAGATCTCTGTCAATTCCTTCAGTCTGCAATAACATCAGTAACTTCTTGAGCCACCAACCATGGCTTTCGCTTCTCTACCTCTAAATCTTTTCCCATCCTTTTCTCTTGCTCACGTACGGTCCCCAAACCCCCACTCTTCTTATATAATGCTCCACTCCAATACCGTTCTTCTGGCAAATTCCTAGGCGTTATATTTGATTCCAAATTGTCCTGGCGAGACCATATCTTGTACATCAAAGAAAAAGCTCAACATCGCCTCCGAATCTTACAAACTTTTTCACATATCTCCTGGGGCTCAGATCGCAACTCTCCTCCATCTTCATGTTACCTTGATTCTCTCCACTCTAGATCATGGATGCCATATCTACTCCTCTGCCTCAACCTCTCTTCTTGCTCACCTTGATACAATCCACCACAGCGGTCTCCGCTCAGCCCTAGGCGCCTTCCGCTCCTCTCCAGTTGAGAGCCTATATACTGAATCAGGCATGCCGTCCCTCTCTCGACGTCGAGCCCTTCTCTCTCTCCGATTTCACCAATTTTCCCTTACCAAACTAACTATTCCACAATCCTTACTTCTTCTCCACGTTTGCCAACTCCTCTCCCCGTACGCATGGATACCCTCCTCTCCCATTCCCCCTTCCCTCATCTCCGACCTCTCCCACTGTCTGTCCATTCCATTCCTCCATGGCTTATACCTAACCCCTGTATTTGCTCCTCAGTTTTCCCTGACCCACCAAAATCAGATATTCCCCCCTCTATCCTTCTCACTCATTTCCTTGACCATGTCTCCATTCATTCCTCCAGCATTCATGTTTACACTGACGGTTCCAAATCCATCTCAGGAGCTGGATTCGCAGTAACATTCCCAAATTGCACTTTCAAATACATCCTCCCTCCTGAATCTAGTGTCCTTACTACAGAACTATATGCACTCCTTTTTGCCTTAAGACGCATATATTCATCCACCTCTTCCTCTTTTACTATTTTTTACTGACTCCCGTAACTCTTTAATCCTCATAAAGTCTATGCACTCGACCGATCCCCTTGTCTGTAAGATCCAGAACTGGTTGTTCTATCTATCCACACGTCACAAATCTATCAGATTTTGCTGGGTACCCAGCCATGTTGGAATCCCTGGCAATGAACAGGCAGATACTCTTGCACGATATGCCGCAATGTCCACATCACCTCAACAACACTTCTCACATATTCCAGCTACAGATTACTACCCCCACTTTAAGACCTTTTTGTATACCCGATGGCAATCTTTTTGGTCAAGACTCCACAACAATAAATTACATACCGTAAAACCATCAATCTCCTCTTGGTCAGCTCCATTTCACAAAAAACAGACGTTGGGAGACGGCCCTCGCACGATTACGTATTGGCCACACTCGCCTAACACATGCCTATCTGATGTCACGCTCAGACCCGCCCCTATGTCCTCTATGTAACATCCCTCTTTCAGTCCTACACATTCTCTTGTCCTGTCCACGCTTTAATACAGCAAGTACCTCTGCTTATCCACACCTATCCTCCCTTCACCGACCTCCCAACATATCAGACTTCCTTACAGAATCCCACAGCTTCTGCCTCGACAACCTGTTCTCCTTCCTCAGACACATAAATATCCTTCACTTGATCTAACTCCCTTACCTAAACCACCATAATCTTTTCCCTCATCTTCAACCTTTCAACACCATTCTATACCTTCCTATAGTGCTATATGACCTTAGATGTCTAGCATATTCATCTTAACCATTAACCATTACAAATATGTAGGTTTTATTGCGCGGAAACCCCCCGTTAGCGACAAACTTGGACCCGATATCGGGGGCGACGATGTCGGAGCGGCGGACGTAATATATGAAATTACCCTAATAATATAACCTCACAGTGAAAATAATCATGGTTATTCATATGAATTTCCATTGCACAGCCCCTGCGACCCCCCGGGGGGGCTGCTGCCCCCTAACCCCCGCCGAGGAAACAAAACCTCCACCACGTATTCACGGCAGGATAGAGTGCACACGAATTAGATGCGGAACCGATAACCTACAATAACCTAAAATTATTAAGGTACTAACCTGATTGATTAATGTCGCTAATTAGTAGGGAGGGTGCTCCTTTGCCAGGCATGCTGGTTGCCCGCACCTGCCGCAGGCTTTCTCCCGACGGAGGCCACCTCCGTGGCGGAAGCACGTCTCTAACATTTTTTCCTGGCTAGTTGCAATTTCGCGCAGAAAAACCGTCTCCGAATACGAGCACCCTCCACACTCGGCCATCGCGGCGGCTATGACTGACTTCTGAACGCGACGGTTATTTCGGTTAGGAATACGGATGTCGTTATTCCAGAGGACGGGAAACTCGACCTTGAGGCCATCGGTGTAACATCGAAAGAGGCGCAAAACCCGCCGATGAGGGCGGGCCACCCTGTTCATCCTGATTATACTACAATCGTCTCTATATACAATGCTGACTATGCCAAGGTTAATATGCTGATTCATTCAGTGGGAATCTTTCGAGGTAATTGTAATATTACGCCCACCGCTCCGACATCGACGACGATTGTGTAATGCTTTAGCCTGCCGGGAATACGTAGTGGTTTTGTTTCCTCGGCGGGGGTTGGGGGGCGGCAGCCTCCCCCCCCCCAGGGGGGTCGCAGGGGGCACAGCCCCCTGCAATGGAAAGTTATGTGAATAACCATGGTTATTTTCATTGTGCGTTATATTAATAGTGCTATTTAATCCCGCATTTTCCCTGGAACCTTTCATGCCCTCCCTTGCTATCGGGGCCAAGTTTGTCGCTAACGGGGGTTTCTGCGCAATAAAAACTATATATTTGCAATGTGGAGAGTGAGAGGAATCCAACGATACCAAAATCGTCGATATCGGTTATGTGGACGTAATACAGAAAATTGCCGAATTAATTGTCCATTTTTCATCATTTTGTATTCGCTTTGCATTCTTTGGTATAAATCCTCTTCGCTCGAAAATTGTCATAGTGCATGCAAAGTTAAGTTTACACACCACTGTGTTAATCCTGACCTGAATCTGAAAAGGTGTATAGACGTTAACGGAATCACCCACTCATGTTGATGACAATAAAAAACATGG